CCATCACACTCATGCACATCATCACACTCATGCACACCATCACACTCATGCACACCATCACACTCATGCACAACCATCACACTCATGCACACCATCACATTCATACATTCATCACACTCATGCACATCATCACACTCATGCACACATCACCATCATGCACACCATCACACTCATGCACACCATCACACTCATGCACACCATCACACTCATGCACACCATCACACTCATGCACACCATAACATTCATAGCACACCATCACACTCATGCACACCATCACATCATGACACATCACACTCATGCACACCATCACACATATGCACACCATCACACTCATGCACACCATCACATCATGCACACCATCACACTCATGCACACATCACACTCATGCACATCATCACATTCATGCACACCATCACACTCATGCACACCATCACACTCATGCACACCATCACACTCATGCACATCCATCAACTCATGACACACTCATAACATTCATGCACACCATCACACTCATGCACACCATCACACTCATGCACACCATCACACTCATGCACACCATCACATCATGCACCACCATCACACTCATTGCACACCATCACACTCATGCACACCATAACATTCATACACACTGTCACACTCATGCACACCATCACACTCATGCACACCATCACACTCATGCACACCATCACATCAACACACCAATCACAACTCATGCACATCATCACACTCATGCAACATACATCACACATCACATCATGCACACTACAATGACACCATCACACACTTCATGCACACCATCACACTCATGCACACCATCACATCATGCACACCATGCAATCATGCACACTGTCACACTCATGAAATAAAATCAATTTGCACACCATCACACTCATGTCCACCAAAGTTATGACACACTGACACATCATGGCACCAGAAGACTATACGACATCATAACTCTGCAAACATCACACTCATGACACCATACACTCTATGCATCCATACATCTGACACACCATCACAGGTCATGAACATTCAACAACTCATGCACACCATCACATCATGCAGCATATTCACATTCAGTCACATCAATCCAGATCATGCACACCATCACATCATGCAACCATACATACTTTAGACACCTATCACCACTCATGCACATCATCACAAATGCACAACCATCACACTCCATGCAACCACACATTATATCATTAGAACCACACACACACACCATCACACACACACACCATCATACACACACACACACACCATCATGCACACACAAACACCATCACACACACGTTCAAGACACTGTACACTGTGTACATCACGCCCATACTGGAGTATGCAGCACCAGTTTGGAATCCACACCTGGTCAAGCACGTCAAGAAATTAGAGAATGTGCAAAGGTTTGCAACAAGGCTAGTTCCGGAGCTCAGGGGTATGTCCTACCAAGAGAGGTTGAGGGAAATCGGACTGACGACATTGGAGGAATGGAGGGTCAGGGGAGACATGATAACGACATACAAAATACTGCGTGGAAAAGATAAGGTAGACAGAGACAGGTTGTTCCAGAGAGGGGACACAGAAACAAGGGGTCAGAATTGGAAGCTGAAGACTCAGACGAGTCAGAGGGATGTTAGGAAGTATTTCTTCAGTCATAGAGTCGCCAGGAAGTGGAATAGCCTAGCAAGTGATGTAGTGGAGGCAGGAACCATACATAGCTTTAAGACGAGGTATGACCAAGCTCTGGAAGCAGAGAAAGGACCTAGTAGCGATCAGCGAAGAGGCGGGGTCAGGAGCTGAGTCTCGACCCCTGCAACCACGATTAGGTGAGTACAATTAGGTGAGTACACACACACACACACGCACACACACACACACACACACACAAACTCACACACATACACACACACACAAACACACACACACACACACACAAAACACACACACACACACACACAAACACAACCACACAAACACACACACACACACAAACACACACACACATACACACAAACACACACACCCCACAAACGCCCCACACAACACACACACACACACACCACACACACAAAACCACACACAAAAAAAAACACACACACACAAACACACCACACACAAACACACACACACACACACCACACAACACAAAATACACACACACACACACACAAAACACACACACCACAAACACTCGACCCCCGCAAACCTCAACTAGGTGAGTGCAACTAGGTGAGTACACACACAAACACATACACACACACACACAAACACACACACAAAAACACACACACACACAAACACACACACAGAGCCCTACATTGTAGGTACAATTCAGTCCGGAGAACATAAAGTAGTCATTGGAGTGATGTATAACCCACCACAGAACTGCAGGGGGCCCAAAAGAGGAGTACGAAGAAAAAAACAGGGTGATGGTGGACACACTGGCTGGGGTGGCAAGAAGAGCTCACTCGAGCAGAGCAAAGTTATGGTAATGGGCGATTTCAACCACAGGGAGATCGACTGGGAAAACCTGGAGCCACATGGGGGTCCCGAAACATGGAGAGCCAAGATGAGGATGTGGTACTTGAAAACCTCATGAAATCAACATGTCAGGGACACAACCAAAAGAGAGGGGGAGGATGAGCCAGCAAGACTGGATCTTGTGTTCACCCTGAGCAGTTCAGACATTGAGGACATCACTTACGAGAGGCCCCTTGGAGTTTAGCGATCATGGGTTCTGAGTTTTGACTATATAGTAGAGTTACAAGTGGAGAAGGTAACAGGAACTGAAGGGGACGGGCCCAAACTTTAAAAGGGGGTACTACACAGGATAGAAAACTTCCTGCAGGAGGTTCATGGGACAGAGAAATGGTAGGAAAATCAGTAAACGAGATGATGGAATATGTGGCAACAAAGTGCAAGGAGGCAGAGGAAAGTTTTGTTCCCAAGGGAAACAGAAATAATAGGAAGACCCAAAACGAGTCCTTGGGTTTACCCGAAGGTGTAGGGAGGCAAAAACTAAGTGCAACAGAGAATGGAAAAAGGTGCAGGAGGCATAGGACCCAGGGAAAAAAAGGAGATTAGTAGAAGAGCCAGAAACGAGTATGCACAGATAAGGAGGGAGGCCCAGCGACAGTATGAAAACGACATAGCATCGAAAATCAAATCTGACCCGAAACTGCTGTATAGCCACATTAGGAGGAAGAAACAGTCAAGGACCAGGTGATAAGGCTGAGGAAAGAAGGTGGAGAAAATCACAAGAAACGATCAAGAGGTATGTGAGGAGCTCAACACGAGATTTAAGGAAGTATTTACAGTAGAAAGGGAAGGACTCTGGGGGGACAGACCAGATGGGGACACCACAAGGAATAAAACCAACAAGTGTTGGACGACATACATACAGATGAGGAGGAGGTGAAGAAAAATGCTAAGGACATCGATACCTCAAAGGCAATGGGACCGGACAACATCTCCTGTGGGGCCTTAGAGAGGGAGCAGATATGTTGTGCGTGCCACTTACCACAATCTTCAACACATCCCGGAAACTGGGCAACTACCGAGGTATGGAAGACGGCAAAATGTTTGTTCCCATTTTTAAAAGGGACAGAAAAGGGCACTAAACTATAGACTGTGTCATTGACGTGTATAGTATGCAAAATTATGGAGAAGATTTCAGAGGATGTGGTTGAGCACCTGAACGAACAGGAGTAAATGCAAACCCGCACGGATTCACGGAAGGCAAAAACCTGTCTCCAAACCTTCTGGAGTTTTATGATAAAAATTAACAGAAGTAAGACACGAGAAGAGGGGTGGTGATTGCATCTTCTTGGACTGCAAGAAGGCCTTTGAAACAGTCTCACAAAAGATTGTGCAGAAGCAGGCATCAGGCGCATATAAAAGGAAGGGCACGCAAAGATCAGAAATACCTGACAGGAGCAACAACCCAGTTTATGGTACGTAATGATGTATCACATGGGCACCTGTGACAACGGGGTCCACAGGGGTCGGGGCCTAGGACCTTGCATTTTTGGATTGTGAACGCATGACGGAGGTGTTAGAGTCAGAAGTGTCCCTTTGCAGATGATTGTGGGAAATATAATGAGGAGATTTAAAACTGAAAGAGGACCAGGCAGGACTTCAAGAGACCTGGACAGACTGGACACCTGTCCACAAATGGCTTCTTCGAATTTATCCTGCAATGCAAAGTCCTGAAGATAGGGGGGAAGGGCAGAGACCACAGAGTATAGGCTAGGTGGCAAAGACTGCAAACCTCACTCAAAGGGGAAAGATCTTGGGGGGAGTATAACACCGAGCATGTCTCCGGAAGCACACATCAATCAGATAACTGCTGCAGCATATGGGCGCCTGGCAAACCTGAGAACAGCATTCCGATACCTTAGTAAGGAATCATTCAAGACACTGTACACCGTGTATGTCAGGCCCATACTGGAGTATGCAGCACCTGTTTGGAACCCGCACTTGATAAAGCACGTCAAGAAACTAGAGAAAGTACAAAGGTTTGCGACAAGGTTAGTTCCAGAGCTAAGGGGAATGTCCTATGAAGAAAGATTAAGGGAAATCGGCCTGACGACACTGGAGGACAGGAGGGTCAGGGGAGACATGATAACGACATATAAAATACTGCGTGGAATAGACAAGGTGGACAAAGACAGGATGTTCCAGGGAGGGGACACAGAAACAAGAGGCCACAATTGGAAGTTGAAGACACAAATGAGTCAGAGAGATATTAGGAAGTATTTCTTCAGTCATAGAGTTGTAAGGCAGTGGAATAGCCTAGAAAATGACGTAGTGGAGGCAGGAACCATACACAGTTTTAAGACGAGGTTTGATAAAGCTCATGGAGCGGGGAGAGAGAGGGCCTAGTAGCAACCGGTGAAGAGGCGGGGCCAGGAGCTAGGACTCGACCCCTGCAACCACAATAGGTGAGTACAAATAGGTGAGTACACACACACACACACACACACACACACAAACACAACACACACACACACAAAGAAACACACACACACACACAAACACACACACACACACACACAAACACACACACACACCCACACACACACACACTATCACACACACACACACACAAAACACACACACACACACACACACACACACACACACACACACACACACACACACACACACACACACACACACACACACACACACACACACATACACACACACAATCACCAACACAATCCATCACACTCTAGAAAGCAACCTAAATATTTAAACAAGTATGTTTATTTGGGTACAGTTATGCAATTTTTGCATAATTAAAAATATCTTACATACGTGTAAATTATGAAATATAACGCCGAAAATGTCAAGATAACATGTTTGCAATGGGAAATTAGTCACATGTATCACTCCTCAAAAATATATTATAGGTTTATGTTTGCGAACACAAGATGCGAATATTTTTGCAATGATCCAGAGAGCATCCAGATGTTACCGGCACATAAAAAATTATGTAGATTTAACCTAAGATAACCCAATATAGTCAAAGAATGTGACTTAATTTCACTGGCGACACTAGAAAACAGCACTAGAGGTATAACAAGATTGGTAGAATAACTGGCAATATGTTAGGTAAAAGGACACTGGTGCAACTAATGCGACATTTTTGTTGTGGCAACGTTTCGCTCTCCAGGAGATTTGTTAAGGCGTTACTCCTGGAAAATATCGCATTAGTTGCACATATGTCCTTTTACTTAGCTTTAGAGGTAACCCTCTATAAAGCGGCATTAAAGGTTTTAATATAAGAATCAGATTTAGAGGTGGCGTTTTAGACAACAGCATTAGAGATGACATTTTAGACAACAGCATTAGAGGCGACATTTTAGACAACAGCATTAGAGATGACATTTTAGACAGCAGCACTAGAGATGTCACTATAGAAAACATCATCCGATGTGTGATTAATCACACTGCAGACTACATATGCAATAGCATGAATAAGGTGCTCCAAAGTAGGGAGAGAGGAGGGGCGTGGAGGCACACAGAAGGACGGTGATAAGGCAGGATAAAAATAATCCAGATCAACAGAAATATTATTTTCCTGGTGAAGTGCTAAACCCGTGTCGCACAGCGCCAGGGGAAAATGGAAGAGATAATCTTGTTTGAACCCAAAAGGGAAAGGGCTGCCGCAGTTCCTTTCATCACCGCCCCTTCACCAGGAACAACTGTAGGGGGATTTAGTCCTCTTTCACACACACACACACACACACACGCACACACAAACACACACACACACACACACACACACACACACACACACACACACACACACACACACACACACACGCACACACACACACACACACACACACACACACACACACACACACACACCACACACACACACTATCACTGCTATCCAGATATCAGTCTTGGATCCACAATCACTCCTTTCTCTCTCTCTCTCTCTCTTTCTCTCTTTGTAAACTGCTACACACGAGTATAACTGTAAAAATTTATATTAATCGCCACTCAGGAGATTGATTCACAATCATCAGTAAGGGTTCTAGATCAGCACGGCAACAACCTGAGTAGATTTAAAGAATCATAAATCTTCTGGCTCTTATAGTGTTGCCAATAATTCTCATTCATAACCCATGCATCATCCTTCTAACATATTATTCACTTCTGGTTGACACTAAGTGAGGCAATTAGTCCTCAAAGGAATTAGCCTGAATATTAATCGTTATCGCATTGGGCATTATATATGTGTTCTCGGAATTATATGAAAATTACTGAGAGCTAATATGTCGTTTAAAAAAGAAACACAAGAATAGGAAAAGACGGTGGTGGGTGTATAGTTCGGTCACCTTAAGTCTTGAGGGTAGAAAATTGATGGGTTTCTCGAGGCAGCTGATGATGAGCCTGGCTGTGCTGCTTGCACTACGCTGCGTGTGGTTGATATGAGACTGCACTGTGTGCGAGACATGACTAGACTGCGTACAACAGAGACAATACTAGATCGCGGGTAGCTGAGAAGAGACCCATGACTGATCAGTGTGTTAAGCCTTTCCTCAGTAATCGAGCTGCTAGGACGATGCTCTTTGGATCTTTCATCAGGTGTTGACAACATGTGTAGAATAACAGGTATTCCCAACATATATGGTAGACAGACTAAATACAAAGGCAACCCCCCCCCTCTACTTCCTCCTTCACATTATGTTAACTAGGTGTTTGGAAATGCACTCTCGAAATTTTGCAGTTCCCCCACGATACCAAAGGCAAGCAACCCGTCATTCTCTAATTTCGTTTTTGTTGGAAATAATACAGAAATGTTAGTTAACATGAGTCGACCTAACAAAAATGTTGTGTACATTTTGTTGTTAAGTTAGCACGTAGTGATTTACAGTTCAGTATTATTATTATTATTATTATTATTATTATTATTATTATTATTATTATTATTATTATTATTATTATTATTATTATTATTATTATTATTATGAGGCAGCCAGGGTTGAAATCGAGGGAGGAGAGCGTACGTACAGTTCCTGGGATTAGCAGCAAGTTACCAGTATGGAGGGACCTCACCCTCCATCCTCTTGTCCACCGCACTTCACCCATGATGGGTTCTCACGTCAAGCTTCACCTCGCCGAGTCTGCTGGTACAACCGGCAAGAGCATTTTGTCTGCCGTTTTTCTCATAAATTATAATGATTTTTGTCTGTTGGAAAGGCGTCGAAAAGACGAAAATGTGAGGAATGGAAGAATCATTTTTCATTGCATTCGTACCATCTGCACGTTGACTAGTGGGCTGGTTTATTAGATATATAACCAGTTTACAGAACGAGGATCATTAAGGCTCCATGTAACCAGTATACCGACAGTTAATCAAGGATACCTTGATCTCTTAAACCGAGATTAAAATAAACTTTCAACATGTATACACTGAGAGATACACACCTCTAGCTGTGCTGTGCTACTAACTCTGCCGGGGATGTGACCCTCAGGCCCTGGTACTATTTACTGCTAAGTGAATACAGGCAACATTTGTAATGAGATTTACCTATACGTCTCGACTCCGTTCTTCACAAGTATGAGCCGCGGGCGCTACTGGTGAGCTACGAGCATTGCAACTTTGAAAGAAGACTACCGATGGCATCATAATAAAAACAAATGAAATCCGGCACTCTGTTGAATACCACAACTCACGGTATATATTATTAGAATACATCAGAATATATTAATGCATTAGAATATATTAGTATACGTTTATATGCTTCAGCGTGTAGAACCTGAACTGTGCATATGGTATACGTTATTTCACTTGATGTATTCTAAGTAAACTGTTATCCTCGTAGAGCTGTGAATCACGAGTTAAAGGACGTACATAGACTGAAGATCAAAGTACATTCTGCTGGATCCAGTATTACTGAGGCATCGAGGGAGGCAGTAAGATCTGGGTTGTCTTGTGGAGCACAATTATTAATTACTTTATCTTTCGTATTTAAAGTCAGCAGAGGTCTCTCTCTCTCTCTCATTATTATTTCATCTTCTCTTTCCCTACTCATTTTCTTCCTTGTGAACATTGCTAAATCACTGAGTCAATATAATGTTACATTACCCAGCTGGGTCATAATAATCTTCCTCAACTCTCCTAATCTATTATCGCCAACTCAGGTAAGTCTTTATACAATTTGCTAAGGGATAATACGATGCTGGTTCTAAGCTGAGGGAGAAGTTAATACCTGGGACTACACGCAGCATTAGCTACCTCTTACACTACCGACTAGACGGATTAAGGGTAGGTAAGCTGATGAGTTTGTTGATAATTGCTTTGAAATCTTCCTTCTGTGAGGTTTTATGTGACCTTGTTCAGTGATGGGTGTTGTGAGGCTTTTCCATTGTGAGGTGTTGTGACACCTTCCTTACTATGAAGTATTATGAGATTTTCCTTGTTATGATACTAATGGTTATAATAACGATGATTTTTAAAGAGGTGGACCGGTAAGTAAGCGGAAGTCATCATATGACTAAGACTCGCATCAAGAAACACTTGTCCTGTTTCCTGACAAACATTATACCTAGATCTTCCTTACTTTGAAGGGTTGTGAGACCTTCACTAACAAATGTTATGATATACCCCTCACCGTGAGCCTGTTGTAAGGTGTCCTCATGCCTTTACCATCTTCAGATATCCTCAGTCTTCAGGTAATGGTGCTGTCAAACTTCACCTAGATGCATCACTTTTTCTTAATCTTTGTTCTCTAGCGGCCACAATTATCGATCTCTCCCGAAAACAAAATTTTTTCACAGTATTTCATGATGATTATTTTTTTTCTATCATTTCCTGTTCGTTTCTAGTTTAAACAATTTAACATCTGAAACATGCTAATTCAAACGTATATAATTCAATTTCAATTCGCCTGTGATCCACTTTGACGCCAACAATATTGTAGAAAAATAAAACTCGGTTAACGTTCTACACTGACTGTATTATACAATTTAGTCGTAGTGAAAGGAAAATATAATTAAAGCCCTTTAGGGATTTCTTAATCACATTCTCAAGATCTACAGTGTTCTTAGAAAATTTTTGTGAGAGATCACAAGATCTCTTGGGAATTATTTCTTTCATTGAAGTAAAATTACTTATCAAGGTATTATTGGTACAAGTTTACTGATAACAAACTAAGTACTGTGCAAAAAATGGTTCCTTGATGCCTGGGGAGGGCTCTTGAAGAATGGATTAGAGCTGCCCTCTCTCTTCCTCGGATCAGACCTCATTACCTTCCATGTACCTGGCGCTATATGACCCATTCGGATTTACAGCTTCCCATCGTCTATAATAACAATGAGGTGTGTGTGTGTGTGTGTGTGTGTGTGTGTGTGTGTGTGTGTGTGTGTACTCACTTATTTTTACTCGCCTATTTGTGGTTGCAGGGGCCCAGTCACAGCTCCTGGCCCACCTCTTCGCTAGTTCCTATTGTGTGTGTGTGTGTATATATGTATTTCACGTCTTTATCACAAGAAATACTGGTCAACCAGTCCCTGGAACACTTTGACTAACTTTCAGACATTAAAATGTTATCTGATCCTCCAGTTGTCCTCCTCAGCCTCACGTTAGATTCTCTGAGGACTCTTGAGCCTACTCTAACATTCCACCTCTCATTTACATATCTTTACTCCCCATCTCTCTTGCTTCCCTATTTTATTTATACCCAACTCCTTTGTCACCTACTTTCACTTCGCTCCACCTCTCTTCATTTCCCTTTTTTTTAATTTCCCCCTCTTAATCATCCCCACTTCTCTTCCCTATTTTATTCTTCCCACCACTCTTTTTTCCTCCACTTTACTAGCACCACCATTCTCCATTCTGTCGTTTTGAATATCCTCCAAGCTCTTCTTCCTATCCTAACTATTCTATTTTATTAATCCTCTCCTCTCTTCCACCCACATATTTATCCCTACCCATTTTCCACATACATTTATTCTTCCCTGCCACTCTTCCTTTCCCTGTTATATCTCCCCACCACATACACTTTTAATCCTATTTCCTCTTTGCTTGGGCTCACACTGTGCTTCTTAATCTTGCAAATCTTTTATAATATCCTGGCGTCGTTTCCCTGTTTCAATTATTAACATGTAATCATCTCCTTGCGTGTTTTTAGGGAAAGAGGTAGCAGAGAGGGAAAGCGAGAGGCAGCTGGCAGGGAAACAAGAGGCTGCTGGCAGAAAACGAGAGATTGCTGGCAGGGAATCGAGGGAATGTTGGCAGGGGGAAAAAGCAGTTGGCAGCTGAAACAAGAAGGCTGCTGGAAACAGGTATTCATCTGGCATAGAAATGAGATATCTGGCCAGTAAGGATTGAGGTATCTGGCAGGAAAACAGGGAGGCATTCGGCAGGGTAAGAAGGAGGCCTCAATCAGGGAAACAGGGAAGATTCATGTAGGGGAAGAGGGGAGGCCTGAAACAGGAAAACAATGAGGTATCTAGGAAGGAAACAGGGAGTCATCTGGCAAGGGAAAACAGAGACGTATCTGGCAGAAAACAGGGAGGTATATGTCAAGGAATATGCGAGGCATTACGCTAGGAATCAGGGAAGTATTTGGCAAGGAAACAGGAAGACATCTGGCAATTAAACATGAAGGCATCCGGCAGAAGACAGGAAGGTATCCAGCAGGAGACAAGGAGGTATCTGGCAAGGTTAACATCAATCAACTAACAATCAGAGGAGAGGGCCTCATGAGAGGCACAAATCAACGAGGAGAACGTGCATGGACTCCCTGGGCAGGACTGCTGGAGTCTCCATGTCCTCTGGTGAATCTTCATTTGATAGCTTGTCAGAGAATTTATTATACTCATGGAAGTGCTAAACCCACTGGAATCATAGAGCG